ATATATATATATATATATATATACATAAATTCACGAGGATATAATACAGGTAGTACTCAATGTTCAGGACAGAGTAAGAATATAATATAAAAGTTTCAAATAGTAATATTCCATGGTTATAATTTATTACATTGGAATCGTAATCACGATCCCATTCAACACTTATAAATTTGTAGGTCTGATGAATTGATTGCGATTATTATTCCAATGTAATAAATTATAACTATGGAATATTAGTGTATGAGTTTTTATATATATATATATATATATATATATATATATATATATATATATATATATATATATATATATATATATATATATATATATATATATATATATATATATATATATATATCATAAAATTATCGCAGATATAATTCATATGATAAATCAATGATATTAAAATTATATTGAAACATTATCAATGGAAGTGTAAAAAGCTAAAACTCGAGAAAAAATGCACATGAAAATAGACAAAGTGACTTTCAGAAAAAAAATCGCTTGACAATAAACAAAGCAAACAGTGACAAAAAGAAAACCGCACTAACTTCTGTAAATATAAAAGCATCATAAAAACAGATGCAAAAAAAGAAAAAAATACAATTTAATGAAAAAAAACAGAAATCAAGAATAACCTAAAACTAAATGAAAAAAGTTTGTTTTTTTCTTATGCGAGAGAAAAGTTAGAGTAATGGACTGAAGTTTACAATAAAAGAGAAAGCAACGGGCAAAAAAAAAAAAATCATGCACAATCATCCATTAATGAAAGAACACAGAAACAATAGAAGTGGGGGAAAATGTATTGTAAAATATCTTGGGGACTAATCGCAATTGCAAAACAAAGATCAGAAAGAAAGCAAGAAAAATAATATGAGAACAATAAATTAAGCAAAAAGATGTAAAGAAATTTTTTTTTCCAATAAGAAAAGAAAAAAAAAACAACTAAATCAAATACCCGTTAAAAAAAAACAACAAAAAAACAATACATTCAATCATAAACCAACCATTGAAAACCCAAGAATCGATAATAAAAAAAACCCCACTAAAACGAGCAACAGTAACCATTATACTCCCTCGACAATGCTTCGTAAAAAAATAAAAATTTCTCTCATCACTGATTTTCTGTGGCCTTTGGAACGTGATATGAATCCCGAGTCATCTCCATTTTTCGGCGTTTATGTCGGAGAGATGCGTGCAAATGCGCTAAAAACAAACACACTTAAAATAGACACAGGGCAGTGAACAAAGGCAAAATTACATTCCCGCCTTTTAGCGCTGATAATGACCGCCATATTTTTGAAGAACAACAATAAGCTAGTGGCGCGGTCACATAGAAACGTATATGTATGTGCGCGTGTACTTACAACATGAGTAATCCATTCAGACTGTTTTAGACAAACACCTAAAAACCTTAATGGACTCGCACATATAAAAACTTTAATAACTATGCACATAGTATTAAAACATACAAAAAAAAAAATCATTTATACGTAAATAAATATCCAAACTGAAATTTACTAACAAACGTGAATAGAGATTAAATATTCGGCTGGGGCAAAAGTTTCGATCACCATCTTTTGTATGATTTTAGGGACATCCTAGAAATGTATTAACCCAGTTTTTTTTTTTTTTTTTTACTTGCGTGTTCTTTAAGAAATGTTTTCAGAAAAATGATTATGTTTCTGATTTTGATTAATTTTAAAATTTCCTATTCCTGTAGGCGATTATTACTCTTCATAGATTGCGTTATTTTATTATTTGGGAATTGCATTCTTGGGAAAGATAATGGCGTTGTTTCCCGTTGCCTTCCCCACGGATCGGAATGCAAAGTTATTTTTCTCTTAGACTGGTTGCCACCCTAAGCTAGGGATCCTAGTCAATCGCTAGAGGAAGAAGAGACAGATTCATGCTTTTTTCCCAAAGGTACAAGCAAAGGGCGATCCCGGAATTTGAGCTTCGGTCACTGATCTCATATAGATAGATGGATTTTATTCATAGGTGCATATAAAGCTTTCACAGATTGCTGTTTAATGAAAGCAGCGGAAGTTAACTTATTTCGTGATTATGCTTCAGTAGGGAAAGAAGCACGGTGGGGTAATGGAGAGCGGGTCGGAATGAGGAATCAGAGAACCGAGTTCGAAATCCAGTCAGATCCATTACATTCACTTACGTGCTAATAACTTTGGGAAAGGTATGAATCCTCTTCTTCTCCCCTTTATAGGTAAATAGCCTTGGATGGCAGCCTACAGCAAGAAAAATCTTCCTCGTCAGTCATGTATCGAAAGATATATAGTCATGTAGCGAAAGATACATGATCGCTTAAGTGTGTATCACGCAAAGCGCAAAACTGACTGATTTAGGGGTAAATACGTTACAGAAAAGATTTCGAAATTTACAAAAGAAACCTGTGATCTGAATGTTGTAAAAAAAGCCATCTTTTATAAATTCGCTACAGGTTGTGTTTTGTTCCCCACTTCTCACCTTGCATAAGTAAAAC